AGGATAGATAATCTCTCACATAGTATTTAAAGGAATATTAAGCATCCAAGGATTAGTACTCCTGACATACTCCAACCATCTGACTCTCAAAATTATGTTGGAATGATCAACCCAAAGATGGAAGGCTGTCTATTGCAGAGTGTAGTGACAGAAAGAAGATACCCTGCTTTCCGATGTGCAGACAGGCTAATGGCAGGAAATGTGGACACAGGGAAAGGAGCATAAGGGAACTTACTGAGGTAGTAGATGTCTCTCTGGGTCTTCATATGCATGCTCTTTTAATTCTATTTTTATATATTCCATCCCAATGACAATTCCCTCTCCCTCCACTCCTCTCATCTCCTATACCCATACATCCACTCTTCCTCAATTTCCCTTCATGAAAGAGCAGGCCTCCCAGGGATATAGACTGGACATGACAAACACTACAAGATGATTAAGCCTAGGTACAAAGCCTCATACTAAGGCTGGACAAAGCCAAGATCAGGCAAAAGAGTCAGAGACAACCCCAACTCCCACTGTTAAGAATCCCACAAGAACACAAAGCTACACAACCATAACATATATGCGGAGGGCCTAGCTCAGACCCATGCAGGCTCCGTGATTTCCACTTCAGTCTCTGTGAGCCACTATGTTGATTCTGTGGATCTGTGGATCGTGTTCTCATGGTATCCTCAACCCCTCTGGCTTCTACAATCCTTCCTCCCCATCTATCTCAGGATTATCTAAGCACCGCATAACATTTGGCTGTGGGTGGGTCTCTGCATCTGCTGCTGTCAGTTGCTGGATGATGCCCTTCTAATAACAGTTGGGTTAGGCTCCAGTCTATAAATAGAGCAGAATAACATTAGGAATCATTTCAATGACTGTTTTTGTTGTTGTTGTTGTCTGGGTGGTGTTTGTTTGTTTGTTGTTTTTGTTTTTTACCAGTTGTGTTTGGTTTTGTCCTAGTTCTCTGAGCTATCCATCCTCTGGTCCTTGACCCTTCAGGCAATGTCATAGTTGGGCTCCTTGTCAGAAAGCATGGCCCTCAAGTTGAACCAGTCATTGGTTAGCCTCTCCAAACTCTGTAGCACTTTTACCTCAGCACATCTTGAAGGCAGAACAAATGGTAGGTCTAATGTTTTGTGGCTGGGTTGTGTCCCATCACTAGACATCTTACCTAGTTACAGAAGATGGCCAGTTCAGGCTCTGTATCTCCCATTACTGGAAGTCTTTGCTAGGATCACCCTCATGGATTCCAGGGAGTTTCCACTGCACTAGGTTTCCACATTGCCCCAAAATGCCCCCCAGTTCCAGTTGTCCCTCTCTCCCAGTACCCTCTCCTTCCATCCATCATTCCCATCCTTACCTGCCCCCAATTCACTTGTGAAATCTATTCTATGCATTCTTCAAACTTGAAAAGTTGCCTTAAGGTCAGAGTATGTCACCCAATATCTATTTCTGGTAGACTCTCAACAAAATGAACATTAAAAAACTGTTTGAACATTCCATACCCATATGACAGTGAGGCAGGCAGAGAAGTAGACCTCAGCACCATGACAGTGTATAGCACCAGTACAAACACCTGTTTTGAACCAGAACACAGTGGGGATGAAGGAAGGCCCCTATCTTTCTGAAGAAGCCATCAGCACAGGCACTTCTTACATTTATCCACCTCTAAACTTTCTTAAATGAAATAAGTAGGTTTCCAGTCTGTAACAGTGTATCAAATAGCCAGTGTCTTCATAAGCTGCACCTTTTACTCCTCCAATTCCCTTCAACCACTTGTTACATACTATTAAGTAAAATGAAATAAGTATTCTACTTGGCAGCTCAAAACAAGGAACTTAAAATGTAAACTCATGGTTAAGATAAGACTCTGGGATAAATAGATTTGTTCCCATAGAATCCTTGTATGAATACAAATGGCTATAACACATCCTTTCCATCCTACTGCTGGTAATTAGAAAGAAGGGAAAAAAGAAACAGCTCCATGCAGTGAATATTTACTGAGCTCGTAACAGGTACTAACTCAGTGGTTTGCAAGCTTGTGTGACTGTGACCTTTACTGAGAAGTACAGTCCATATTTCAGCCTCTATGTAAGTACATATGTATGACTAGAGCACTGTTACATAATGAAGCTTATTCTAGCTAGTCTAGTGTCGATTGTTACATAGCTTAAAAAAGGTTGGTTCTGGCCCATTTAGTTTCACTGACCACTAATAGGTTGTGCATTGCGGTTTGAAATGATGCATGACGTTCTCTCTCCTCAAAACATGGTCTGACGAACACTATCCCCAGTGTTAGGACTGTAGCAAATGCAGAGTCTAAGGCCATCCTTTATACCTATTGAATAAGAATCTGAATTTTAACAACACTTCTAGGTGCCCCCTGTGCATTTCCAGTGCTAGAAGCCTTGTGCTGAACATATAAGTGTCCTCCAGGTCTTACCTCAGACAGAGTCCTACTAAGTGGCCTGATTTTAGGGATTTATTTTTGTTGTTTGTTTCTATAATAGGCATACTTCAGCCTCAAACTGCCATTAATTCAGTAGCTCCAGTATAAACAAATAAATGAATGAACAAATAAAATCTATCATAGCTTCTGAGGCCAACCCTACTTAAGAGCCTTTGGCCTATGGGGTTAAACAGAAGTGAGCTCATTTAATTGCTAATATTTTGTAAAGGTGAAACAGGTATTTTGGGTACAAAGTAAATATTTTCTTTTAGCTTTCTTGTGGATGACTTCATGTATAGCATTTTATTTTCCATGTATTTAGTGACAGGTCACTGCTATTCCTTATTCTGAATTACTTCTCCTTGTAAGAAAAACTCCAAACATGTCTTTTCTACCAAAAACTTCCCTTTTGAGGAGTATAAATAGCAATGGCTTCAGGTAAGAATGCCATGGCCAGTCTTAATGAGTTAGCAAAATTTCCCCCTCCATTCCTGATTAGATCCCTAACCCAGGATCTCAGCTGCTGCAGGAGATGGGCCTGCCCTTGAGTGCTATCACCCATCATTAAGCACCTTCCCCTCAGTGGGATATGTTTCCTGAGTGATGGGAAACTGAAGCCTGGGAGTTGCTAATCCTGCTAACACTAAAAGGTTCATTCCCATTAGCAGCTTCTGTGTTGCATTAATAATAAGAAAGTAATAAAGAGAGAAGCCTCAGCTCTCAGGCTCCCCTGAGGTAAGGTCTCAGCTGCCCTCCCACCCCCATGGTCCACTCTAATGGTCTTGCTGTACTGGAGCAGTAGGTCAGATTGATGGAAGTACTGACTCTTTTGTCAGAATTAAATTCCTTCTTCCTCAGACGCTTAGAGGGAAAATTGTTTTTTCCCTAAGACATCTAAAAGAAACATCATCAATACTTTTGGCATGTAAAGTGACCCATTTAATTCATAACTTAAACACAAGTTAAGACTACTAGGCACAGAGAAAGTAGAAAGAAAGCATTAGGATGTACACTCAGGCACAAGGGAAACTTGATTATTTTAGGAAAAGTATATTCTCCCTTTCCCTGTCAGAGTTATGAATTAGAACCCTCCGACAGGCACTCGAGACCCTTTATGTTTGTTTCTTGATTCAACAAATAATTTTTTCTTCACAGCAATAACTTAAAATCAAGAAAGATAATTACTTTTGTAAACACTAAAAATTCACTAATAGGACAAGAGGAAGTGAGGAGAAAATGGGAAATGAGAGAGAGAGAGAGAGAGAGAGAGAGAGAGAGAGAGAGAGAGAGAGAGAGAGAAGTTTTGATAATGAATTATTTTTATAGAATGTTTGTGAGGTCCATGGAAGAGTTACACCACTTTTCTGTTGAAATCATATGCTTTCTTTGTAACCAATAGATTGGTTCTTTGAAGAAACTTTGGTGTCTGAACACTGCTGAAAGGTGTACATTCTGTCCCTGGAAACTGATTGTCTTTCAGTTTTTTGTTTTTTGTTTTTTTTTTTTTTTTTTTTCATTTTCTACTAAAGCTACTTTCTCTTTCAACTTACCTGTTTTCACCAAGTTCACATCCGTCATTACCTCAGAAGTGTTGCTTCATCTTTGCAATGAATTTGCAATGAACTTACTAGAAAATTTACTTTCTTGTTTTGTGCTGATTCTGAGATGCTAATGTGTGATTCATCTGCATTTGCCAATTTCATATTCTAAGACAAAAGACCAATATCAATAATACTAGCAGCTACATTAATATTTTAAGCACATTTTATGTTCTCAAGATAATTTTCAGAAAATTAAAGTTTGAGGCTGGACAGGTGGATCAATAGTAGAGAGTCCTTTTTGTTTTCCAGAAGATAGAATTCAATTTCCAACTCCCACATCAGGTAGCTCACCTGTAACTACAGTTCTAGGTGACCTGATACCCTCTTCTGGCTGCTATAGGCACCCCAACACACAAATACATACACACAGAGACACACACACAGAGACAGACACACACACACAGACATACACACACAAATATAATAAGACTTTAAAATTTAAAATTACTTTCTAAATATTTATAACAACATGTTTTCTTTGTAAGTACATAACAGGACAAGGGAGAAAAGGAAGTATCTAAGAAGAGTACTCATCAGTATTTCTGAGATTGCAATCCTTTGAATGAGAAACTGTGAACTTTAGGAATAAGAAGATTTTTTTTCATAAACATTCACTGGAGTTTCCCTCCAGGCATAGACCACTCTGAATCACTTTTAAAGAAATAACTCTTTCATGAAATCTATCTATTAACCAAGCAATTTTCAAAATCCTTATTTGCTCTCTTGTTTGTGGTTGTGCCATATATAGAAAGGCAGAAGCATTCACTCTATTCTAGTGAGTGTCACAGTACCACAGCCTTAAACCTGGGGAAGAAATGAGAGAAATATGCCACTCTCATGGAGTCTAGTAGCAAGTGACCCCACTGGGAAGCAGCATCTTTGGCAGTGAATTCTCCCAGTATTGTCAACACTGTACATGTCAGTCTGTATGCCCTTCATGTGTGATTTCTGTCCCACAGTCCATGAAGGCTCTGGAGAAAGCAGCCAGAAGGAGACCTCCACCTGTGACATTTGCCAGTTTGGTGCAGAGTGCGACGAAGATGCTGAGGACGTCTGGTAAGCCACTGTCATTCTTTCTTAAAATGATGTTTTTATTATTTATTATTTTCATTTCCATCAATTAGTTATTATTTCCATTCACTAGTTATTCTTTCAAAGAACACATTGTCAGCATTTTTATTTTCTTTTGACTTCTGAAGGTGGTAAGGACAAAGTGATGTAAAATTTCTGGAATTGTGAAGTGGGTCAGGCAAGCAGATATCTATCTGCATAGGAAACACAGAGCCATCAATGATGACCCACGTCAGTTTTACCACAAAGAAAGGAAAATCATATGCACTAGAATATCTCTATAAAAAAATGTCTTCTGGGAACAACAGATGGCTTCTAAGTTTCTTTAAGTTAAAATAAGAAAAAAAAAGACAGACAATGGGTATCTGAAAACAACAGACACATAAGATACCCCTTCTTGAGCCTAGGAAGTTCAATATCCATATGGAGAAGACTTGGTGTCTGCTTCCTATGGATGGCATTGGCCTCACTGTAGCCTAAAATACAAGGGGCAAGGGACTTCTCTAGTCTTCTTTTATAGAAGAATTATTTAATTAATGAGGATTCAGTATCTATGACATAATCACCTTTCCCAAATCATATCTTCTGATGCAATTCAGTGTTGAACATATATATTGACAGAGTGTTCGAATCACAGCAATTGGTACCACAGTTTCTAGTGGGTCTGAGGGAGGAAGGGAGATGAAGAGATGGAAGGAGAGAGAAATGGAGGGAGAGAGTGGACAGGGACATGAGGGAGAGAAAATAAGAGAGAAAGGGAGAGGGAGAAAGAAATGGAGAGAGACAGGGAGGATGGAGGGTTTGAGTAATTGCTGAGATTTAAGAGAGGACACATATGAATACCCACAGCCAAGCTGACAAGATGCTTAAAGCAAACACACACAACACACACACACACACACACACAGCCTTCTGAACCGTCTGTGTATTAGCCCTGGTCTGGTAATTTGGCAAAGTGTATAAAGCAAAGGTCACAGAGAATCTGTGTCTGGACAGGGAAGAAGCAGTCAGTCTTCTCCCTTCCCTTCTCTTCTCACCATTTCCTACTCCACCATTTCCTCCCTTCATCCTTCTCCCTGTCTCTCTCCATCTCTTTCTCCTTCTCGCTTTCTCTCTTCTTTTCTCTCCCTATTGTCCCTGTCTACTCTTTCCCTCCTTTCCTCCCTCCTTCTCTCTCTACATCTCCCTTCCCCCTCTTTTCTTTTAACAAATACTTCATGAAAACAGAAAACCATTTGTTTTCTTCAGTGTGAAACCTATTTACAAATGATATTAACATTCATTTTTATAAAGCTTTGATGAGTAGAAGGAATTTCTCTAAAGAAAATGAACACTTAAAGAAAACACAATGGATACATTTGGCAGAAGTGAAACACTGGGGACTTATTGCATTTTAATGCAGTATATGGTAAAGATGAATCCCTGAAAACTGGGGCACTTACATGTGAACACTGCCAGTAAGTAGCCAGACAGAATAATCATCTATTCACAAAACTAGACATCTTCAGGTTGTCCAGATATCAAATACCTTTGACAACTGGAAAACTAGGAGTGTGTCTATGGTGCACACACTAGCTGAGGAAAGAAGGTGTATACTTTAAGAGCATCCTAAATATCCTGATGCTGATAAATTTATGGCCCCAAATGTATGAGATCACCAGAAATTCTTTTGATATTCTTTAAACATATCGACTTTTTTGTTCAACTCCAAACTTAATGAATCAAAATTTCAGTGAATTGGGGTTTATTTGAATTTTTCTGAAACTTCACATATATGTGTGTGTGTGTGTGTGTCTTATTTTTATATATCGATCCCAGTTCCCTCTCCCTCCTTCCATCCCCCTCCCTCTCCCATCCCACTCTCCCCAACAGGGAGGGTGATGCCTTCCAAGAGGGATCATCAAAATCTGTCAAGTCATTTGGAGGAGGGACTAGGCCCTCTCTCCTGCCTCTAAGCTAAGAGAGTATCCGTCCATGGGGAATGTGCTCCCAAAGTCCTTTTTTGCACCAGGGATACATCCTAGTTCCACTGTCAGAGGTTCCTTAGACTGCCCCGGCCTTCCAACTGAGACCCATGTTCAGGGGATCTGAGTTGGTCCAATGCTGGTTTCCCAGGTATTAGTCTGGAGGTCCATTAGCTCCCCCTTGTTCAGGTCAGCTGTCTCTGTGGCTTTCTGTAGCCTGGTCTTGGCCCTATTTTCTTATCACTCCTCCCTCTCTGCAACTGGATTCCAGGAGTTTGGCTCAGTGTTTAGCTGTGGGTGTCTGCTTATTTCCATCAGCCACTAGATGAGGTCTCTCTGATGGCATATAAGTTAGATATAAATCTCATTATCAGGGAAGGGCATATAAGGTTGCTCAGATTGTTAGTTGGGGTCATCCTTGTAGATCTCTGAACATTTCTCTATAGTCAGTTTTCTCTTCAAACCTATAATGGCTCCCTCTCTTATTGTATTTTTTCTCTCATCTATTTGTCTCCTGACTCAATCTTCCTAGTCCCACATGTTCTCCTCTCTTCCCCTTCTCTTTCTCCTAACTCTCTCTCCACTCACTGCCCCCCACTCCTAATATGCTCAGGATATCTTGTTCCTTTCCCCTTCTGTGAGGGACCTTGTATGAATCTCTTAGGTTCGTCCTTGGAACTTCTTAAATGATTATATAAATGCTTCTTTAAAAGAAATGACTAGCTAAAAGAATCATTGACTTAATTTCTAGTTTTCCATAAGTTTTCAAGCTGGCAGTTGTTTTTATTTTAAAAACTATAGACATAGAGGCAGGCTGGAGAGATAGCTCAGCGGTTAATAACATGTATTTCTCTTGCAGAAGATTTTAAAAGAACTTTCTTCCTCCCATTTTTTCATCTTTATAATGGTCAGTTTTAACTAACACTTGCATTTTCCAAGTACAGAACTTAAGACATGGCAATATACCATTACCTAAAATATTTGGGTTGCTTGCTATGTGTTCCATTATGTGTATACACTTTTCTTATTTTTTTTAATAACCATACAGATTATTTTATTTTACTAAGAAGAAGTGAGTTTTTGAAGTATTTAAGTGGCAGGGACAATATGGGGCATGAGGTGAAAATAGGTGGAAGGTGTTAGCATGACAATTCAATCAAAGGTGTAATTAAAATATTTATTTTGTACCCTGCCTACAATAATGAAATTACCAGGTTGTAGGTGATGTATATGCAGTGACTCCTAAGGGATGTGGGTTATAGCTGATGGCTCAGAAAATACTTACAGTAGTCAGTGGGAAAACATCAAAGCCAGTGAAGTGCTAATTTTTGGATATTGCAAAACTTCAGATTCATGGTATAAATGTAGTTCAAGAATTTTTGTGCCAACCTAGAGGCATCAGAAAGAATCAGCAGTTGTCCATTGGGTCCCAGCATGACAAACTGACTTCAGAAATAGCTTAGTTATGAAAGAGACAAGGAGGAAAGGCAGAGCCTCTAGGAATTGGGTATCAAGCACAAAAATAAATTAGGGACTACACCCGGTCCACTTAGTGAACCCACCTTAAATGACCAAGCCTTGCTGACCAGAGGTAGACAGAACATAGCCTAAATTGGGATAATAAAGTGCAAGGTCAAAATGAAATCAACACGAAGGATGACTAGATGCTGTATCAGTTAGCTTTTGGCTAAGATGTCTTGTATGCACCAGCCTAGAGACAAGATCAGTTCCAAAATTCAAAATAAGCCTGAACCTCCAGATGGGGACTAAGTGGCCATAGCTGTGAAGATTAGAGACTGCAGAGGCAGTGAGCCAAGAACATCATTATACTTCCCAGACAGACTGAAAGTTGTTAACGTTCAAATAGAATGTATTTTAAATTTCCAAGGTAAGCAATAAAGAACTATGCTGACACCAGTACATTGATTTTCATTTACCTAAATACCTTTGTATGTTAACATATTGTGTTTGTTTTGCCCATGAAGTAGATTGGAAACAGCTGAAGGACATGAGCATAAAGCAATAAATGAAGTTAAATAGGCGTGCAATGAGAGAGACAATAAAGTAAGATAGTTAGCACTCAGGGAGTGATCTGACCATACTGTTCTACAGAATCCTTATGACAACAGGGGAACTTTGACACTACTGACTTGGGATAAAACTACAGCTAGATCCCCTTGCAAACATAAAATTCTTCATGGGCTCTATAATAATAAAAAATACAGCACAATACTTTGTAATATGTTTTCCTTTAACATCAACTAAAACACAATTTTGTGCATACAAATTTATTTTTTTCATAGCTTTATGAAATAATAACAAGATATACGTACTAGTGACAAATGCTATTATTATTATTATCCCTGGAATAAACATACAAAAGTACAAAATTAACCCTGATCTTTTTAAACCTGTCCTAAGATATGAATAGTTTTATTTTGCCATTGGGCTGAATCTAGTTTCTCAAAGATCTCCCATGAGGAAGGTAAATAATTTGCTAGCATTCATAATCTTGGGCACACTCAAGTGATCACATGTCCATAGTTAGATGAGGTTTTGAGTTCAGGAGCAAGTCACACTGCAAATGAGGAATTAACAAAATTAAAGAAACAGGGGAAAAGGCAGAGTAAGAGGTTAGAAATAATAATTAGAATACAATGTTGATAGGTGGTGATGCTAATCACATGATATTAAATCACATGGTATTAAATGTGTGTGTTCTAAGGGAATAGATGGTTTATAACCTAATGAAAGACAAGGTGTTATGTACTGTGGTTTCACTTTGAGGGTCTTTTCCTTTCTCTCTCTTTTCATGAAAACATCAAGACTACAAAAATTAGAAAATTATCAGCTTTCTCAATATGAAAGCCAGAACTTTGCTACAAAAACATGTCTTCAACTCTGGGCATTTGCCTGTGTAAGGAAGGATTTGACTTCCAAAAGGAAGAGTCAAAATTCAAGCAAGATAAACTGTCCACTTTGCAGAATACCCACTTCTGGAATGTAGGTGTCCTTTGTTAT